TTTTTTTTTTACAAACTGAACCTGAGCTATTTTGCAAAAAATCTAAAGATGTGATAATAGACATGATACCACCTGTCCATCAATTCAATGGGTTTGTCAGAAACTGACCAGTCGCCAGTCACAATTTGTCCCAGAACAGAACCCAGCCCAACTCCAAGAGATGGATCAAGACCTGGGCTGAACCTCATGAGCAGAAGAATCCAATAATGACCAATGGTAACAACCACATGTTCTTCTCAAGGTAACTGAATAAAGCTTCCATTTTTTTGTCATAATTGCATTCTATGCTTAATGGTAAAATCAAAGATCAATGCGTAATGCTTGTGGTTGGTTTTGTGTGCTTTGTTCATAGATATATGTTGTAAATCTTGTTTTTGACATCTGGATGAAATCTTTATGAGCCTGATGTATGACCTATTGGACAATTATCTTGCCTGTTGTCTTAGCCATAATGTTGGTTAAAGCAAAAATGCCTTACAAAATCTTTGAAGTAATATATTGATATTGGATTGTATTGCTATTGAAATTAATTAGTTTTATGAACAATTAAACTATATAATTAGACTCATTTCCTGTACTGTAAAATCAGACCAGTGAAATCTGTTGCTTCTTAGTCCAGACTGGTCTGTCAAACAACAACCACATCAACCACTCAGGTGAACAGTGAAAACAGTAGCTCCTCATTACAAACACATTATCACAACTTTAACTTCCTCCATTAAATGTCTACTCTGCGGCTTCTGCTAAAATCTGTGTGACTGGAATAACAGAACCTAGAGAAAGCATTTGATATGGTGCAGTTGGATGTATGGTGGCACCACAAAACAAGAGGGTGCTGCACACTTTGAATGTGAAGCTGTGTGCTGTTGGGCCTACCAACAGAGCAGCCCAACAGGGAATTCCTCAGTTTCCTCTGCTATCAACAGAATACTTCCTGAAAGCACTCAGACCACAACATTCTTTTCAATGGTGCTGCACTCAAACTGTCACAAATGCATGATATGTTACTCAGTAAAATAATCAGTAAATCATTTAATCATTACAGTAAAAAGAATTATTGATTGAATTATCTCCTGACTTCAGATTTTTTTTTCATTTGATGTTTCTTTGGCTAATGCTCTTTCAGTTTATTTGGCCATGATCCTTTATTACAACAACTTTTGGATTTTGAAACAAAATTGAATAAAGTAAGACCAACCTTAAAAGTTTTGTTTTTAACTCTTTAGTTTAAATATGTTAGGAAAATTACAATTACAGAAACATAATAGTATCAAATCAGGCAAAATCAAATCAGAGGAATATTCACAAATATTCACTTCAAGGCCTCATTTGACTGACCAAGGAGACAACAATGAGGTCCAGAACAAAGACCACAAAGACCACAAAGTCTTCTCTTCTCCATGTCCTTGTTGTAAATCATTATATGTCTGAAATATAGGTCCAGAACAACAAGTACGTAAATGATAAGCAAATCATTGTAATCAATAAACGCATAATGATTCTTAGTAAAATAAATGAGTAAATGGATACATGATAAAGAAGTATAAACTAAACACTAGACAAGTAAACAAAGACAATAATGCTATGTAATATAATAATAAAATAAAATTATTTAATGCTGTCACATCTTCATTTTCTAAATAAAGGGTAAGAAAATATACTTGCTGCTTCAAACACAATGCTTGTAAAAACACAATTTTACTCTACATGGAATTTAACTTTCCTGCACAATATGTCTATATACATATTTTGTAGTCTTTGTAAAGCAACAAAGTGAAGACTCTGGAGGAAAAAAGCTGTGTGAGTGGCTCTGACCAGAGCTCAGATAACCTTGTGTTGAACAAGAAAGGGCTGCATATTCTGGGATCAAGGAGGACGGATGTGAAGAAAGCTTTATGCTGATCTTTTGTCCACTTGTATCTCTAAAGGTCTAGAGCCTTTTGATTTTTTTTACTAGCTATCTGGCTCCAGAGATTATTACATATAAAAATGACATTTGCTATTGTTCACATTGACAGTAAAATGACTACATAAATTAAAATTTGAAATGTGTTGTAATTGTAATTTAAAGCAGGATTACTATTGCAACGACACATCATCAGTAGGTAAAACTAACCTGTCTCACGACGGTTTAAACCCAGCTCACATTCCCTAACAGTGGGTGAACAATCCAACGCTTGGTGAATTCTGAAGAGCCGACATCAAAGGATCAAAAAGCGACGTTGCTATGAAATGTGTTGTAATTTCAACACATTTCAATATGTGTCGAAATTAACTTAAGAGACATTTTTTGAACATTTTTGGTACATTTGGATCTACACTGCCTCTAGAAACAGTCTAAGTGTGAGGAAAAATCCATCTAGCCATTTTTTGACAATAAGCAAATGTTTTGGTTTTTTTTTCAAAAACCTCCAGATTAGTCATAATCAGTGGGCATTATTACCTAGCAACCCTTGGAGAAGTGTGTGCAGGGTAAAAAGCTCAACTCGGTCCACTCGACTCCATCTATTTACCATTCAGAAACCACTGCTGCAATATAAATGCAAAATTGTATTTAACTGAAAATAGTAAGTTGACTTTTATCAGTTTTCATCAAATTACTATCAACACTTTTTGTAAGTTACTTGGAATATATAGCTGAAAAGTCTCCAACTCACTCTACTTGAATGAACAGCTGATGCCACCGTCACACCTGCTGCCCACTTACTTTGCTGAATGTTTTTTAGGCAATGAGTTTGTATATTTTTTTAAGTAAGGTGAACAAATTAGATTTTACAGGACACAGGGCACCAGGCCTTCTGATATGAGCTGTCAGGACTGATATCAGAGCATGGTGTGAATGTATGGGTTCTCTGTGTGAACTCTGGTTTCCTCCCACAGCCCAGAAAAATGACTGTTAGGTTAATTGGTCTCTCTAAATACTCCTTAGGTGTGAGTGTTTGTCTTGTCTGTCTCTGTGTTGCCCTGCAATGGACAGGCGACCTGTCCAGGATGACCCCACCTCTCAGCCGTCGACCTTTGGCGATAGGCACCAGCAGCCTTCGTGACCCCACTATGGGTAAGGTAAGGGACACATAGGTTTGATTGAGCAATTGACTGTTTTTCCATTTGTTTTTGTATTTTGTGTGGATCAATGTTCTAAAATATTTGTCAACATTTCTGCCTCTTGGTCTCAGATCTGGTCTTGACTCCATTCACCTAACAGTCATGTTTTTAAACTGGCCTATTTTATTTATATTTTTATCTCCTTGTAATTGGTTAGAACTGTTTGAATTGTCTTTATAAACAGTACTACTACTACTATTATTATTATTAATATTATTATTATTGTTGTTTTATTATCATTTGATGTATGTTATTTCAACTGATAACTGTATACTTCTTTTTTCTCTCCACAGAAGTTAACTTCTGGTCTGACAATGTGTGTAGCTGTGGTTCCTTCACTGCCTGAGGCAATACTGCTAAGAACTAACATCATATAGAAAGTACTTCCACATCAGTTCTTTAGGAAACTAAAGAACAATATTCTTATTTCAATAGCAATTAAACAACCGGATTTGATATTAATGTCCTCTTAGAAAGTGTCCTATGTGGAAGTTGCTGAAGGCTTATTAATCTGTATTTTAATATGTTATATACCAAATATTCAGCAGTACAAATTTGTTATGGAATATGTGTTGAATAAGGTTGTGTTTATGTTCATAACACAATTTGATTCTATCATTTTAGATGTGTTTTGATACATATGATCTATAATCCCAAGTGAAATTTAATGCATCATGAGATGATGATCAAATGCTGTACAGAAGTACAGCAGCTTGATAACAGGGACAAAGAGCTTGGTAAGACATACAGTATATTGTATTAATACTAGACAATCACCAGTGTTACATTACAGCTCTAACAGAATTCACAGAATTTATTGTAGCTCCTCCTCTTCAGCTCCTCAGTTTCCATTAACATAAGTTCACTTAACATGAACCAATAAAAACATTGTTTTCTGAACGAGAGCAGTGATTGTTACCTTATTGCATGTACCAATGAGACACATCTAGAACCTCACAATGTAGTAAGACAAACTGCACCTTTATGACCCTACCAGACACTACACTGCATGCCTGTTATAGCAGAAGTTGCAGGCAAATATTATTTTGATTTATTGGTTTCATTTTTCTCTTCTACCTGAACCCCCTACCAGAACCCTTGCTGTTTATTGGTCCATATAGCCAATAATGAATTTTCACAGTTTAATGCAGGCTGGATGTTCTCTTCAAACTGAATTACAGCCAGGACCCAGCAGTAACAATAACATATAATATGATTTGAGAGACCTCTGAAGCCTTTTGAACCATTTTTTCTTGGAAAGTTTGTGTCTTTCTTTCATAGACAACCCAGCCACATACACACTCACAAAACAAAGATTCATATGTTCACAACCAGCAGGTCAGACAGACTGTCACATTTATCTTCACCATGACACAAGCATCAGTAAAGCACAAGCCTGTGGTATTGTTTTTAGCTCCAGGGACAGTTCATAACCTCAGCCTGCTCTACAGAGACAAGAGCTCCAGATGAAAAGTGGAAAAAGTAGCATGCACTCCACCTTAACCGCACTCCACCTTAACCACACACACACACACACACACACACACACACACACACACACACACACACACGCACACAGTCATTTTAGCTGAAAGACACAATCTTTCCAGATAAATTCCATTTAAAAATATCAAAATATAAACTTTTTTTCCCCTCTAGGTCAAAATTCAGGTGAAGTGTTCAGAAAAACTCAGAACCTAACGTCACACACATCCAAAAGCAGGGATGTGTGAATAGGTTTTACCAAATTTCAACTTTTTGTAAAAATTCTACACTTTTCAATCACACGCTGTACTGAATGTCAACCACTTTTCTTAATAGCTTGTATAGTCTTATGAGAAAAAGCAAACATATATATGTTAGGATTCAAGTTGGTGTGAGTGCTCCTCCGAATAGACGATCTTCGTGGGAGCGTTCTGACAGGCTGACGCACCTGAAGCGGATTTCTGAAATCGGCTGCAGGATTCTTAAGAAGCGGTGGAGCAGCCATTCATCGCTCGATGGTCCCACTTGTTGGTCAGAGTCAATCCCAAGGTTTTGCCAAGCTTCACGTTGACCAAGGTCTAAGTTAATCTTTGTATTGTTTTTCTCAGATTTTGGATGCTCTGCCTGGACCCAGCTAGGAACCACGCCCACCCGAACACTGACACCGATTGCCCACCGGACTAACGCTCTCGTCTGCCGCCTGAGCCCGCAACCTTCTCGGAGCCTTTGCACCAACGGATCCTACCTCCTCCTCGGCAATCCTCCATCAGATGAACTGTAAGCCATTTCCCTCCACTTCCCTGTCAAGATCCTCTCACTCCCGCTCCTACTAACCTCTCCCCTCTCCAAGCAGTACCTGAGCCGCCCAGCCGCTCCCGATCCCAGAGGACAACTTAGGCTCAACATATTCAATAATAACTGTAAATAAATCTTTGAATCAAAACCTTCCGGTCTGATGTCTAAACCTGCATGTGGGTAAAGAAACTCAAATCCAACATGACAATATAACTCTTTGACTTTATGATTCCTGTCAGTCTGAAAATAAATTTGTCAACACATCATGCAGCTAATACTGAAAACCTTTATTTATGCAATTTAAATTCAGTCACATGCATTCCAAACTTGATCCAAATTAGAAAACAGTGTAATATGCTCAACTAATTATTCAAAGTAATTTAAAAAGTCTGTCTAAGCAGATTGCGCTGAGTCATTGACACACAGCATTGACATTATGGCAAAAAAAAAAAAAAACTTTAATAAATAATTTATTTGTATATGCGTTAATCTCCCAACTTACATTCATTAGATTCCATGTGACTTAGTAGAGTTTCAGATGGAAACAAAGACAGGAAAGAGACGAACAATGTCTTAGCATCTTTGGAGATGCTTCTGATACACTACAAACACTTGGAAACAAAAAAACATACATATATGTAATATATACATAATATGTAATATATGTAATATATACATATATATAATCTTTTCTGTTTGGACATATAACCATATTTTTATTCAAGCCTCCCATGCAGAATACATCAAACATTTCATAAACATGTTACTAATTTTTTAATTATTCAAAAATTGGAAATATTGTAGCCAATCCTTATATAGATGTATTTGCTTTAAACAGGAGCCTGTGACTTCAATCATCAGCAGTAAAGGGAATCTCATCAACTCTTACTTGAGCCTTTACTTTTCAGTACTTTACTCAATGTCTTCAGGTAGTTTGCATCAAGGTAGCCATCACTGAAACATCATAAGGACAAGGTTAATTGCATGCTTTTGCTGTATGCACATATTCAGTAAATCACAAATGTGATGTTTTTTTCAGCTGCTGAATCTGTGGAAGACAAAAATAATTAAAAAGAAAGTTGCTACATCACAGACTAAATTTCAGTAACTTTATCTTTCAGAACTGAATAGATCTAGTGTGACAGAACCATGTTTTTGCACATGATCACATTAGCTTTATGAGAATATAGATTTAAAACCAGATTTTTACATATAATTTTTATAAAACCAAAACTTTCTACTTATTTTCAGAAATACCTCAATATTTTTTTAAGTTTACTTTCCTTAGGGATGAATTTTAAACTGAATAATTTAGAGTTTCCTTTCACAAGTTTCTCCCAACAGTTTGCTAGGATTTTGGTTCCTTCCTCCTAACAAAACTGGGTGGAACTGAATCACATTTCTAGTTTGCTTGCTTACACACAGCTTGATGTCAGTTTCATTTACTGGAAGATATATTTCCAATGCCATCTATATTGCAAAGTATAGCAGTTCTTTTTGTTGAATAACACCAACATGATGATGTGCACTGGATACTTAGTACTTCACATGTACAATGACCTGAATGCATCTCCTTCAACCTGTCTCCTTCCTTTGATTTGATGGCTGGACACTCTCATGGTGCTTACACTCGCATCTAACTATATGAACAGTCAATGTGGAACTTTATCGTCTAGTGATCTGACCCTGTGATTCACCACAGTTGAAGAGGACCACAGATCTTTTCCTCATATCTTGTCTGATTTCTGTGGATTAATGGAAATTCAGCAGAATTCAACATTTGGATATTTGGCAGTTCTTTAACAGTTCAACAAACCTTCTTATTCACTTCACGTTTTCTTTAAGTTAAAAATAAAAAAGTTATTGCTTTTTTGTCATTAACGTGGTCAACATTGTCTGATATTGACTCAATAATGCTGACTTACATTATGCTTCCTTCTTCTTCATGTTGTATTTTTAGTGGAACAGAGGCTGGTGTGATAACATCTTCTCCACTTTCATTGGTAGCAATGATAAACAAAAGCTGCTGGTTGAAGACCTTCTCCAGCAAAGTGCCGACAGTCCGCCCCTCATGGTTTTCAGGGAGGTACGTACACACCTGTGTCTGTGCATATGGCTGGCCAGGGTGGGGGTGTTTCTCCTTGAGTTAGAATAGAAATGGAGAAAAGCAGTCAGTGGATGTGAAGTTCCACCAGATGTTTGCTAATTGCTAATGGCTAGTCTGAAGAATCTGCGTGGAGGAGTTACCCTGTTGTGATAGTTTACAAGGTTTATGTATTTTATTTTAAAGAGGGGTCAGCCAGGTATCCCTCCCTACAGCTGGGATTTGTAGTTTCTTCACCCTGGTATGTTTTTATAATTGATCATACAAACACCATACACTTTAAAGGTGTATCATGCAAAGAATTATTATTTTTTCTTTACAGACACAAAAAAATAAAATCATCCACACAATAATTTTTATCAGTCTTGAATTTTCATAATGTCCATGCAGATATAAACTTAAGTCTTCTCTTCACCCACAAAAACAGTGGCTTTGTTCCGTCCACAAAGTTCATAGGTGGGCAATGGCTGACGGAAACTAGCCCCACAGCTTGAAAGGTTATGTGAAGAAAGTCTCACAAAGCTATTTGTCCTTCGGAAGAATGCCGTAGCATTGATATATGCCTCAAGGGCACAAACAGTGGTTCAGAGGAGCATCAGGTGTCAAACCGGGCAAGATGAAGGGCTTGGGTAGTGCCTGCTGCCAGTGACACCTTAGGAATAAAGGTGTCACTGGGCCACAGTATAACAGCTATAAGGATTCCACAGGCAGCAGGGCTCACTATTGAGAGAACCTGTAATTCCCCCACAAGCTTTGCAGAAACCATCCCCAAAAGGAACGTCATCTTCTGTGAGATCCATTTGAGGTCCGCAGATGCCAAGGGCCCAAATAGGAGAGACCAAAGAACCTCAAGCACCAGAGAAAGGTCCCACACCGGTGCCACAAGGAGGTTTGTGTTGGCACAAATGCCAAACACCTCTTAAAAACAGTACACCATCCTTGCCTCTGCCAGTGGGCAGAGGCAACTATTCAGCCCAACATGCCAACAGAAAAAAGCAGCCACATACTTTTTCAAGGTAGACAGAGACTGTTCCTGATCCAGTAATGCCTGCAGAAAGGTCAGTATGTCAGAGACTGAACACTGCACCAGTTCCTGTGAGGGAGTCAGACTGCTTTTCTCCATGTTCACCTGCAAGCCCAAGCATCCCACATGATGGAGCACTAACTGAGTGTCTCGAATCATCTGATCCTGTGTCACGGCACAAATGAGCCAGTTTTCCAGATACAGGAGGACCCTTAATCCTTGTGCCTACAGAGGAGAGAGGGCCGCTGCGACACATTGGGTTAACACCCTGGGAGACAGCGAAAGTTCGAATGGGAGGACCCTGAACTGGAAGTGTCTCCCTTGAAAAGCAAAACAAAAAAACTGTCAATGGGGCGGTACCCTCAGAACAGGGCAGACAACACCCACAAATCCAGGGTGTGGGCAGCTCAGCAGCCGAGCTGTACCAGGGTAAAATAACTGACCACCGGCCCTAGGACATGAACTACGGGGCTCCTGGCTCTTTGAAGGCCTGGGAGGATGCCAGCCAGACTGCACCGCTTGAAATGGGCTCATTGATCTGGCCCAAGCTTGGTCTCGAGCTGGGGCCAGGGCCAGATAAGGTCTTTGGACCTGATCTCTGACCTGGCACCAGACCCTGGGGCTTAATGAAAGAAGGAGATGGGTGCAAGGACCTCCAAGAAGGACCTGCAGCTGCCTAAGTGCTAACTGGTATGTGTAGCCCTCCCAGCTGCTGCCTTGTTTGAGAGCCCTGACCTGTATGGTCCAAGGCATCCAGTGCTAAAGAGCCAAAAAGTTTTTCCAGAACTACAGGCAAGACCCGAAGGGTTCTCCTACAAGGCTCAGTAAGTGGCGACTGCACCAACCAGACCTCTCAGCGAGCGTGAACCAGTGTGGAGAATACGCGAACAAATTCCCTTGCCATAAGCAATGTTCCCTCTAATGTTTCATGTGTCTGGGCGTACACACAAGCTTCCTGGGCACACTGAGGACCACTGTGAGCATCATCAGTGTACACGGCGTGGCCACACACAAGTATCATAAATCTGGGATCATAGAAAGTTGCATGGCTTATTAAAAAAATCCAATTACATCAGCAATTTTCATTCGTTTGCTTTTAATTTAAGTGATTTGCTCAATTAAAATAAAAAAAAGAAAAAAAACATTGCTGTTCATGAGATGCATGCTATAAGTAAGAGTTCTGCTTCAGCCAGGGTGAGAAATGAGACATTACACCTTTCAGACATAAATGTTTGTTCAGATTAAAACATTCACATTTTGCACAATGAAATGTTTTCTGTAGCTTGTGATGCAGTATAAATTCTTGTAAAATATTTAATTACAGTTTTTTTCACGTCTGCCCTTCTCACTTCTCCAGTGGTTGTACACTTAGCCCAGGTTGATGGTCAGTCTGCTTCTTGCTTTATGTTCTTGAATTCAGCATATTGACTGTTAATGGCCTCCATAATCTGTGGGTGGAGGAGAATGGCCTCATACTTCTTTGCCAGTGTACAAATGTCTGCTTAACCATAGTCAAAAATCTGAACTCAACATTTCAATATCAAATGCAGACCATTCCTTTCATTTGATTTGATTCCATTTGATCTTAGAAGAAGTGCATTTCTTTTTTTTTAACTTTGGCTTGGTGAGTGGATGTCCCACTAGACATGATAAGGTGATGGCTTTCACGTTTCTTAACTCTACCGCACTATTCTCACCTGCATGGCGCATATGACCAAGGCACGTAACCCACGTAGCGAAAGTGAACCGTATCGTATCATTGGCTGGATTCCTGTCACTCACTGAGTTCGATCGCAAAGTAGTACGGAAAATTTTTTTATCGGTCCATAGTCAAAACTGATGTTTGAGCTCAATGTCCACTTTACGTTGGACTTTATTTTATGCGCTACATAGATTTTCTTGTGCGCTGAGAATATGTGAGCAGTGCGCGATGGCGCAGGCGCGCAGCTTAGAGGGAACATTGGCCATAAGACCAAAGGCCTGCAGAGATGCATCAACCAGGCCTTAGGTGGAATGATCCAGTGGAACAGATTCCAAAGAGGAAGACATGGTCAGCATAAGATGGGAAAGAGAGTTCCCATTCCAGCCCATAGGCACCCCAGAGTCATAGGCCTTGCTGAGAAGGTCATTGGTAATACGGCACTGAGGCCGCGGTAATACGGCACTGAGGCCGCGGACAATGAACATTGGGCCGCAAAGCCTCTTCAGGCGGAATAATAAGACCGGCAATGCCCAGTTTCACAACTGGCATCTGCCCCAAGCCAACCCTGGGGGCTTCCTGTATGGTTGCCAGGGCCCTGCCATCCACTGTCAGACATGAAAGCATCAGTCATAGTATCCCCTGTATCCTCCTGGGAGGCAATGGAGTCAGGCCCAGAGGTCCCGGAACCCAGCTCCGGAAGGTCCTCACAGAAGTGGGTGCCAGTGGCCGCCACGGAAATAGCTTGGTTATTATTGACTGATGCTTCATCCTGCTCGGGAGGGAATGCCACGCCGCAATCACCATCAGCCTGCTCATGGTGATCACCTTCAATTGGGCCAGCTGATCCACAGAGGATGCTGTCTGCATTGCACTACACCCCTGGAGAATCCTGACACTTATGTTAGGATGCTCTACGTTGACTTCAGCTTAACATTTAATACCATTTTCACGGAGAAGCTGATAATGAAGCTCCAAGACCTGGGACTTTCATCATCAATGTATCTTTGGATCAGGGTCCTTCTCAAGTTGTGAGAATAGAGGACTGAACATCTTCCACCCTAGTTTGGAATACAGGCCCACCACATGGCTGTGTACTTTTTCAGGTTCTTTATGCACTGTTCATCCATAGCTGTGTAGCCATCCACTCCTATAAAATGGTTCTAAAGTTCACAGATGATACTACTGTAGTGGGTTTTGTAACGCTTGGGTTGTGTTTAAGAGTGAAGAGGAGACGGCAGACTCATCAGGACGGTTAAACACCCACAACCACACTGGTACTGGGAATTCCACAGTGTTGTCCTTTAATAAACTCTCTTCACCAACCTTACAAAGCCCGGTTGAACAGCTGCTATGTTATCAAACATGAAAAGGAGCAGGGTTCTCACAACCAGTAGCGTCACTAAGAGTTAGGAAGCTAACATGTCTCGCTGCTGTAGCATGTCCTTCCCTCGTTCTCTACAGAGAAACTGAGTCGCATACTTGTGACATCATCAGCAATACTACAGTATCTTAAAGAGACACTACACAATTACAGCTGTTACATATTCCCCCCTGGTCAAAAAATGGCTGCCCTCAGCCAAACATAGCAAGGGTACAGTTGAGACTTAACAAGCCGCCATACATGGACAAGCTGTTAAAAGAAGACAGGGAATATACATGACATATATAACAGTTTCCAACAAATGGAATGTCTGTTTGGACAAATACGGCAAAATGAAAATAAACTTAAGGCATTCAGGACAACTGCAAAATGAATTCCCGTTTTGTACTTTTTGTTTTGTTTTTGCACATGCTAGAACAATTAGCACAATATGTGAGAACCATTTAAACATGACCCATATAAAACTTAAGTAACAGTCACATAACACCAGTGAACACAGAGAACCATAGAATGCTAACAAGGTCACTTCAGGTCAAACCTGGAGGTATGAAAAGGGTTGGTCCACGTATTGACCGATCAGTCAGTGGTGACCCTTGGAATACGCCTTGGTCTAAAGTTATAAGGAACACTGGCAGCACACCCATTATTAGCAGGGGGTGAACCGGTAACATCTGTCCCTAAAGCAGTGTCAGCATAGTCAAAGTCAGTTTCAGCTGGGACGTCGCTAGAGAGAACAACAGTGTCGACAACGTCACAGGCAGGCTCTGGGTCCCAAACAGCAGAAGCTTGTTGCTTCGCGCGTTTGTCAGAGGAAGCTGTTGCCCAGGTGTAGAATGGTTGAAGATTTGCAACATGAAAGACTCCAGCCTTCTCTCCAGTGTCAGCTCTGGTCAGACCATAGTTCACATCAGACATCCTTTTGTAGATAC